CCAGTTGCTGTAGAGATTTTAGAACTTCAAGCTTTTCGTGTATTCAAAATGCCTCCTATTAGTTCAACATCATTACCATTTCTCTTATTCTTTGAGTTCTATTGTTCCTGAGACATCTTAACTTTTTAATGCATATTTACAGTTTAACAGGTAATTAAATATGTAAAGAAAGCCGTAATTTGCAACACTTTCACTACATCATTGTATTTATTGGCAAATAAAGATATAACTGTACTATCCTACAATGTCCTGTAAACATCAATATATAGAAACACGAAGTGCCTTGTGAAACAGTCCCACTCTAAACTACAGAAGAAACTCTAGTTTTAAAGAATTGCGCTCCAAATGACTGTCATTTTTTTTAGATTGCCGATCACCTCAACTTTACTAAACTGACCCAGTCAATCGTTTCCTTCTAAGTGCTATTGCCGTTACTGCAGTGGTTTTGCGATCATTACTTCTTGTAATATAGGAAAAGCATGTGTCACAAAAAATTTGGTACAGGTCATGGCGCATTATTTTTGTTTAGCCTGTGCTTCCTTTTTATTTGGCAACCTACTGATTTCCAAATGAAATTGAACGAAATAACGGAAAAGGTTTGTATTTATTCCAGGAGATAATTAAATGTATAATTATCTGTTAATCTACAATTTTCTTTCGGTGTTCGAGAATGGGATCTGATTATAAGAGGATTCTTCGAGTACTGCTGATAAAACCCGTTGAGAGTGCAGTGCAGTGAGTGACAACAACAAACGTGAAGAACCGACCCGAATTTTACCTGACGAAGAGGGGGAAGACTTCTGCTTTGTACTGAAATGGTCTTCCCCGAGGCGGCTATGCTGTTGCGCCTCAGGTTCGGTTGACCGCTCACAGTTGCGGTTAGTTGGGAACGTGATTAGTGCTTCTGGGAAGCGTCCAGAACTTTGTGGCATTAGAGTACCTTGTTATGGTCGTTGAGGATTAAGTGTGAGAACTGCATTTTTTGCTCGATTAATCTTCACTTTATTTAATAAGTAGTATAACTGATTCAAAGATCAAGACGGAGGTGGGCTGTCGTTGTGGTGAAGGTCAATAAATTTTTTTTTGATTTACAGATTAGGGAGGTGGCTGCCTCGGTGACGGAGCAGAAGGGAATTGCTCCGGAAAAAAAGCAGAATTGCTGCAGTAAAAGGATACTGTCTTGCAAAATACTTTAAAATGAATCACCACTATAAATAATGTTCCACGAACTAACAATTCCGCCAGCCGTCAAAATAATCCAAGATATTAGCAAAACATACATTTCCTTTGGCGATTGACAAACTGCAGGTGCGTTGAAATTCGTGTCCGGTATGCGAAAAACACTTTGGCATTCAATTTTGTTTCGTTGGAGGTGAGCCAATTGGTATGGCTAAATTACAGCTTTATTCTTCGGACTGCAGCAGTACCAATTGCTTTGTGGAACGGACGCGTTCGTATTAAGATTATCATTTGTCTGGTACTTCATTTACAGATTTCACTTTGTAAATTCCAATTGGTTTGCTGTTTCGTACACTGAAGTAGTCTTTTCTGTATTTCTTTCATTTATCGGCGGAACCAGTGTAGCTTTTGATATTATCCAAATGTTTCATAAAACAGTAACAGACTAATTTTTTTTTTTTCTGCTTTGCATATTAGTTTGGCGATAAACGCTGACGGTCCAAGATAAGTGTTGGATTTATTCATGTTCTTTTAGGGTCTTTTTTGCTCTTGAACTTTTATTTAATTTTTTACATCTTTTTTCGCGTACTGTCATTTTATTTTATTTTTATTCATTTATTTTTGGACCGTTAGTAACCATCGTTTCTTACGTGTATTACTTTGATTACACTTCTATACCAAGTTCATACGACGCTTTTAAGCAGCTAGTCATTTGGATGATATGCCATATTTGGACGTCCCTACTAATGGTTATGCTGTTACAAGAGTAGAAAATTCAAAGATACCTGAGAAGGCCTATGAACCACCAAAGCGATGTTAGTTTTTTAGAACCAGGAGCATAACTTTTCCTGCTTTAGATTGAGAATATGAGAATATTAACTAAGGGCACCAAGGCTTTCTGCTAATAAGAGATTTCCTACAGGACCCTTATGCAGTGGTGTAACTGCCTTTTTTCTATAATAAATTTGCTCTTTATTTGAGTTTTGTTGACTTAGCTCTTTTATTTGAATCATCTGTATTCCTTTCGCCTTTCCCCTCCTATAGATAATAGCTCTGCGTTTCATTTAGCTAGGAATTTGAACGGAAGTTTGAGTCGAGTTAGAAAAAGGAGTATGCAGGGTATTGGAACTGTGAATTCGATACAACAACCTTCTACTTCAGTCTCGGTGATAAGCACAAGTAGTGCCCCTGTTAAGAGCCGCAAACGTCCGCTGTACCAAAAAGATTTCCTCTTAGATTTAGATGATCATCGTAGTCGTGAAGTTTTGAAGGTATCAAGTCAGTTTGCTAAAAACTTATCAAGTTTATTTCCCTTGGCGAAATAGTATGACTATAATAAACTGTTGCAGAAGGAAATTGAAAAATTAGGCGGTCGTGTTGTAGAAACAATAGAAGATAGTCCAAAGCTATTTTGCTTGGTCTCGGATTATCGGTATGCACATGCTTTAGAGCGTAAAAATGCTTCAAACCGATTGATTAGTGTTAGTGTTTTGTTCATTCAAACATAATACTGTTTTTCTTTCTTCGTACACTGGAAATTTCTTTGAAGGCTGTTTCAACAGAAATGATTCTTTTTATTCCTTTTTCTTTGCTTTCACATAGTCACTGTTTTTTTACTTTTCCTTTTTTTCAGTCCAACCTGCCATTGTTACTGAAAGACGCTGTGAGCAGTGGTATACGTATTCAGTCCTATGCAACATTCCAACAGTGTCTTACTAATTTTAAAAATAAGATTAAGAACGAGAAAAAAGTCGAAAACGCTCCAGTGAAGGCTCAACAGCATTCTCAACATGTATTTAAATTTATTATGAATATGGATTAGAATGCTTCGTGTTCTGGCTTTATTGTAGCGGTTCCTTATTACATTGTGTGATTTTCAGGGCACAGTTTGGAAGCTTTCAAGTCCTTTCATAAAACTGGAAGATAGTTCACTACATTACGCTCCTCTTTTCAAAGAGTTTTCGTCTACTCGCTACTTCGAACCTATATATTTAGGCCATTCAGCTGGGAAGTCTGTTTTTCATAAGGTTACTCCAGAAATGGCGGAACGGAGGTAAATTTAGTAATTTGTTTTAAGCAAAACGTTTTTGGAACTGCCACGCTGAGAACAAACTGCTTTTTTTCTCAGCTTATTTCTTGAAACATTTCTATCTGCTGCCTTGAACGCGTGATTAATTTAAGATTGCGGGAAGAGAAGGAATGTAAAAAACGTTTTCCAAGGTGGAGAAGTCGGTTATGTTCAGGCTATTGTGACATCTGTGCCAGGAATTGTAGTAACCTCCAACTGGTTAGCATGTCCAACTGATTTTATTCCTTTCTTTTCTTTGAAGTTGGAATTAATTTTTCCATTGCTCAGCATTTCACAAACGAGGAGCATCGTCGCCGTGTTAGCCAGCCAAGCTTTTATGACCGTGTGGATGCACTTTGTGGATCTTTTACTCCTGATATTGTGGTACCGAACATACCACTTCTGGAAAGGAAGAAAAGCCCATCACCGCAACCTGCTCTTCGTAAGCGATGTTGGAAATATGACTCCGAGTGATCTTTTAGGAGCTGTCTCGTAAGTTTTGAGGCAGTTTTTTTAATACTAATTTCAAGCCTCTTACTGCTTTTTGTTGCCTTTCTAATTAAAAGTTTAGTGGAGCTCGTTCTCAGCGTAATTGTTACTTTTTTCAGGTAAGTCAATTTTATCTGCAAATTTTATCGTACAAGTAGGTGTCCAGGAGTTTTACGGTCTATTTAAAGACGCTGTTTGTTTTTTTGTCAGAAACGCTCATGCCTGGTTGCTTTTATGGTTTGTTCGAGGAATGTCTCTTCTTAAACTGCTTCTCGACGCCTTCGATGGTTGGAAGATTTAATTTAACGATTTTTTTGTAAATTCAGCTCTTTTGTTTGCTCTACCGGTGTTACTCCTCCTCACTGGACGGTTGTTATTGTATTTTAGTCCCAGGTATTTTTGAAGTAACTGTTCTCATTTTGTATTTTTTTCGCCAGTCTGAATTATGGTTAATAATTCTGGTTTGCCCGTCAACAATATTGATTTTAGTACGTTTATTATTTTTGGCTCATTATTAGTTGGTAAAAAAAGTAAATGAGTCCCTGATGGCTCTACTGGTTAAAAAATAATTGAAGGTGATGATGTAAATGCTTATTTTTTTCCATGAACTTCAAAAACGTTAGACCTTTGCCTGATGTTTGCGTCTAATGCCCAATTAATTTTTATGCTGATGCGTTTGAATGGACCTTTATTACCGATGAGCCATATATTACTGCTGGTGAGGATTTGGAGTGGTTTCAGGTCTTTAAATATAGATTGTAAAGATAGTTATCAAGTAGATCCACCTAAAATTGAGCGTTGGTACTGCTGAGAAAGGTACCTACTACAGGGTTCTTGCCCTGCGCACGAAGTAATTTGATATAGAAGGTTCTATGCGCGAGTTACAGGGAAGTGTGGATAGATGATTTACAGCTACAGCGCTCTCAGCGAAATCTGAAGAATCCATTTTGTTAATGAAAGGCCACCACCAATTTCGATTTGTACACACATATTTAGAAGACCTAACTATATCGTCACAATATTTGTATCAAGGGGACATCCAACAGGAACTTTAACAGTGGTCGCAATTTGAGAAAAGCCCCCACTAAAAGCTAGAAGTGGCTGAAGTTTAGTTGAACCTACTAGGGATTTGGTTGCAGGCAAGAGTAGGGCTTTCAAAAATCTGAACAGCCTTCGGTTGCGGGTGGTCGTCGTTACTGAGGATGCCAGCTTGTAAAGCATTGCCGGGCAACTCTAAGACGCGTCTAAGTTAATACACAGATTCAGCGTCTTTGATTTCGGGCCAGTCGCACGGCCATGCAGCAACCGTGTCATTTGAAACATCAAGCAATTTGCGTACGCCGCTGTACGGCCTATAACCAGTAGGGCGAATAACCACCTCCCCCTAACAAAAAGCCAGTCGGTGAGCGAGGAACTCTCGACTTGCCTCTGCCACCAAACCCCTCCAAGTGAACTTTTGAGAGAAATCTCCAAATAACAGAGCACGACCTCACCTCGCAGTCAATATCCTGACGGATTGCAACACTTACCTCCGTGAAGTCAGACACAAAGAACCAAAGCATTGAAAACCTACATCAACCCAAGGTCCAGAAAGATAAGTCAGACCAAGACAGCTTTAGAAAGAAACACTGCTGCAAAAGAAGATCACAATTAAGCGCTAAAACCGCCTCCACCTCAGACGGCCTAGGTTAATTAAAATAACACACTTTATACCTTTCACACTCACTGGTGGACTGAGCCAACATCCCCTACCTGCACTAAAAAAATATGTATTACTCCAGCCAGTAATGACATTTCAATCATTGTAAGCAACCTACTCAAACAGTAGTACAATACGAACGTAATACAGGACCAGAATCAGATGGACAGTTTCTCAATTTTGGAGCCCGCCAAAACTGATAGAGTTCGATACTGCAAAAGAAAAAAAAAAACGTGCATAGAACATTAAGTAGCCCAAGTGAAAACCAACCAAGTCAATACAGTAATCAGACATCCACACCTTTCCCCCCTCCCGCCTTATTAACCTCTATTCGAGATATTAACGAAATAATACATCTCTATCGCCCCATAAAAGCGGAAAGAAAAATAAAGAAACAGGAGTTTTGCATTCAAAACTTATGTAGAGAGATCAACAACAAATGATAAATAACAGTGATACAAGGAAGCTAAAAACAAAAAGGCTGCAATATCCGTATGTACTACACTATGTTATTTCGTTTGAATCGTCCCTCCCCAAATACTGCAATTCAAAACTTAAAAAAGTATTGCTAAAAAAATTGCAGCCGGAAAACAAAGAAAAAAGAGATCATCTTGAGCAGCATCAATTGTCTAGCATTAATTTTAAAGAATCTCATAACAGCGACTTTTTGACATGCGCAGCATGTTTTACAACAACATAAAAATAAAGTAATTGAGGGTCAATAAAATCCAGTCAGTATTAATGCTATCACGATGAGATACTACAATATACCACTGATGGTGAAAATAATGAAAAAATTATGTGGTACAAGAGAAGGCTAAGAATGAAAACACATTTAGTGTTTTAATTGTGAGTTTGGTCATCCTCGACGAAATCATAAGCTTGCTCTTTGGTGACTGTATCGATGTGCGAAACCTGAAAAGAACTCATAATAGACACCAATTATGCATTTCAAAATAGCATTAAATATTGTGATTTAATAGGGGAACTTTATTTTTCAACCATAAAACTAGCATTTTGATTTGGGTTGTTGCACCGAACAAAACTAAGGCGTATACACCAAAGTGTCAAGAAATTAGAAGTGAAAACTTTTGAAAAGTGAGGTTTTGAAAAAACCAGAAAAAAGTACCTTGTTCCTAAAACGAACACCAAAATATTTTTCGGCAGTACCTAGCAACTCTGCTCTAAATGTGGTAGTAATGAACTGGGCGTTTTCAGACAACTCGTGAATCATATCTGTAAGTCGAAAAATGATTTTCAGATTATTTCACAACCATCAGAATAAGGAGTTTAGAAAACGCATCAAATAAGCACCTGCAACTGCTTTCCGGTGCTGAGCATCCAAAGCTGCATCAATTTCATCAAAAAGGTAAAATGGAGCCGGATCACACTTTTGGATAGCAAAAATCAGAGCCAAAGCTACCAAACTTTTTTGGCCGCCAGAAAGCTGCTGTAACTGTTGTGTTTCAGAATTCCCCGTAAACGAAACCTTAAAACAACCTTTCAAAAGCAAAGTTAAGTCCGAGGGTTCTGTATAGCACACTTTCGTAGCAATCAAATGATCTTGTATAAACACAACTGGAGAAAAGCCATGAACTTATATTGCGAAAACTGAAGTACAAACCTCAATTCCAATGCCAGTAAACGTTTCAACTATGGGGACTTCGCTATCACCAGAAGGCTGCGACTGAGAATCATCACTCTAAAGACTGAAATTGTAAAACAGAAATCTACTTCTATAAAAAACAAGTGAGAGATCTAGATAACTAACAACTCCTCCTGTTCGCATGATAAGGGAACCGTTTCCACTTGGTACAAGTTTTTGAAATACTGTCTTAAAGTTCTTCGACACCTGCTTGAAAGTCAGTTGAATTGCTTCGTATTTACGATGATCAAGTACGCTGACTAACTCGTTTATAGCCTACGTAAAAAAACAATTCAAAAACTGTAAAAAGGTGTATATCATAAGCAATAGTGACACCGCGAATAAACAGCTATTGTCATTAAAGACAAAATTGGAAAACTGCACAAAATGTTACCTTTTGATTGGCTTTATGCTCTTCCATCCTTCGGGTTAACTCTTCTTTTTGACTACTTGCTTGAACGTACTGGTCCAAAGCCCGCTTGTTAACATTTTCGTATTTCTTCAACTGCTCAAGAGCTTCATTCAATTTTTTATCCAGTTGTTTTAGCGAGTAACTTTCGTAATTCTTTGCATCCATCGGTAGCGAACCTAATTCTCGAATCTAAAAGGCAAAGAAATAATTTTTGTGAAGACAGCCAAAAAAATTTTTCACAAAAACAAACCTTCTTCATACTATCCTCACGTTTCGCTTGCATCACTGACTGTTTCGTACATATTACATCCGCCTGTTTCGAAAATTCAGCCACTTGAGCTTCTAAATCTTTTTGTTGTTCCTGACAATCTTCCAGCTCTCTTGTCAACTTCTCCTGACTTTGTTCGTATTCAGTTAGAGATTCTTCAAGCTCTGAATAAAAAGCAGTTAAAATAAACTGGTGATATAATAAAGAAAATTAAACTGTACAGAATCATTTACTGGTCCCGATAAAACAGTAATTTATGAACACGAGCAGGAAAATGAACCT